GTGAGTGTATCATGTTCAAACTTGTGATGTGTTTCAAGCATGTCTACCATGCGCGTTCCCTATTCGAAGCATATCTGGGTCTAAATTTTTTTTTTTTTTAAAAGGAAAATAGTATTATTCATTATGATGTGTGTCCAACACATGTTGGGAAGTGTCCAATGAGTGTCATTGTTGGACATGACATGGACACACATTTTCTTCGAAGTGTTTGTGCTTGTTAGACTAGTAGCAAAGCACAATTTTTTTTTTTTGTTTTTGTTTTGTTTGTTTTGTGAGGAGGGGGGGTGGTGTTACAAAAGCACAAAATCAAACTGGATATGAGCATGTTGGGATAAATAGTAGCATTACATGACAAAATAAGAGACAAACTCATCTACGGAAAGTTAGAAACTGCGCATCTGAAAGATAAGATGCAAGAAATTCATCTAAGATGATTTCTCCACTTGAAAGTCAGACCAGTGAATGCACAGTACCCCAATGGAAGAGTAATAGTGAATACACTGTTCCCCAATGGAAGAGTAATTTGATCTAAGGGAAGGTGCCACAAGGACAAGAAGAAGCTCAAAACGAATGTTGGTTAAGGATGGAAGAAAGGAGATAACTACCTTGGTTTAGCAAGGGAATATGGATTGCAAAAAATTAATCGGAAAAGATGGATTCATGTAGCTAACTAAGGCAAGTTGAGATAAGATGACTTGCTTCTTACACGCATAAATTTAACATGTCGATAAAATTCAGCAGCTGCTTCCTCCAGTACTTTGTCAAGATGTTTAGTGTAATTACCCCTGCACCATCCCAAATAAGTTGATTTACCAGAGAGTCAGTTCAATGAACATAGGACAACAAAAATGAGGAAAGTACTGGTCCCAAATCACCTGATTGTAAACGCAACAACCACAGGGTATCCTTTATGTAGAAGCTGAACAAACTCACGCTCGGAAGTAAAATGAATAACTCGTGATGGCCCAAGATCCTTTGGATAACCGGTGTAATACCTTTGAATGTTCATTACAACATGAGTAAAGCAGGTGAGAGAAGAGGTCTTTCAATAAAACAAGAATGTGATCAAATAGTGCACACCAAGACTACGTCTAAAAAGCGGGTACGTATCCATGTGACACTTCTATTAAGAAGCTCCTTCCCTATCACATTCGTACTCTATTAGAATTTAGTGGTTATGAGAAATAAATATTCATCTTCATCACAAACAAAAACACTCATGGGGAGGAATGAGGATCATGTCCATGGTCCATGTTTGTTGCACACCAACACTAGTACCACGCATCTAGTTCCTCACTGGAAAGAATCAAACCTAAAAGCATCCAACACCTCAAAATGATTACTTTTCTTCAAAGGAGCCATATCAGGACATGGTTAGCATATAATTGCATCAGAAAAAAAGAAAATAGAAACTCAATAAATTTTTCAAGCCTGCCAGCTCTAGAAATAGAAGATAGAAAAATATCACGTTTTCAACAGTAAAAAAAGGTTGCGGAGGTGTTTATTTCCCTAACACATCAAACTCTAAAAAAACCAAATAAGAGAGGTCCATATCAGCTACACAACATAAAAGTAGAAAAAATAGAAAAGAAAGTGTTTCTAACTTTAAGATACCAATTCCAGAAGAAAGCATCACAAAATGTGATAACCACTTTAGAATATGCTTATCCTAGCGTTTAAAGAATCAATCATATTTGAATTCAGTGTGTAAAAAAAAAAAAACACTTGCCCAAAATATATGATAAAAAAAACAAAAAAAAAGAAAACAGGAGTGAAACATGATTATGGATATGAGCAACACAATATGCATATAAAGGCATCAAAAATTATGTACACATACATACTTGCATGTTGCACGAAGATGACTCATCATTCGATCAAAAACCGGTGACTCTGCCATTTGACGCAATCACAGAAATGGCGCCAAACCCTGCTTCTCAAAGGTCCTGTGACAAAAATTAAAAATTAGTTTAAAAAAAATCCTGTTTTCCAACCAGCAAAGGATTATTAATGACAATGATACAATGCCCTCCAATATATTCAAATTGCTAACGTGCGGTGGATTTTGAAAGTGTTTCAAGAAAATAACTTAAATGTGTTTTCGTTACTAAAATATTAGAATTTAGTGGGGCGGATTTTGATTGTGTTTCAAGAAAATAACATTTTCTTTATAATAAATTTTTTATACTATATAGGAGTATATGTTTGGTAGCTTAGGAAAAGAAAAGAAATCATTACATAAGTTATGAAAGAAAAGAATAGAAAAATGATTTTTCTCCACTCTTTTTTGGTTGAACTACATAAAAGAAAAGAAAAAAAAAAGAAGATATTTCATGTTATATTATCAAAATAACTTTTTATATAAGATGTCAGTTTTTTAATTTTATCTATATCTAAATGGGCAGTTTTTGGTATTATAAAATTTAGTGATTTGTTGGAGATTTTATTTTATTTTATTTATTTATTTATTTATTTTTTCACTCCCAATCTCTCCAAATTCAAAATGTGGGTTATGATAGAAATAGGTTTCTCTTCGTTTCTACTCATTTTTCTACTTTTCACTTATCCAAACAATTAATATGAACAAAAAAAATTCTTTTCTTCCCAAATTCACCCAATCAAAACGAGCTGCTAAACTTGAGCCCTATGCTACAAATCTAGAGAATAGCAGTTGAATTTTGTTCTCATTTTTTTTCCCTAAAATCAGCAGGCATTTTCTCATTAAATTTATTAATTAAACCTTGTGAATGTTCAGGAAATGAGTTTTTTTTGAGATTTTATGTGGTTTGACTATTTTAGGATCCGTTTGGCAAGATGATTTGTGCTTAAAATTGCTACAAAAGATAAAAATAAGTTATTTTAGCCACAACAAACAAAACATCACATTTAACTCATAATCATTACACTCTTCTCTCATAAAAAAAAATTAAAAAAAGTAAAAAAATCCTTCCTAAATTAACCTTTTTAACCCAAGTTTAAAATAATCAAAAAAAAAAAAAAAATCAAACCAACTAAAAAATCAACTCACTTCCCAAAACTTATTCCCTAAGGCTGTTTTGGGAAGATGATATTGATTTTTTTTGCCCAAAGTTATGTAATTAGAAAATGTGTTTGAAATGATAGTGGAAATGTATAATTTGACCAAATTGTCCGCTAATATATTTAATTGCAATATATAACGAATGGTCGCCACGTGGCCACGACGGCTGTGACCGCGGTTACCACACATGCCCGAATTATTGATAACACGCTATTCAGACTTGCAGTCCGACTTTTGGTGCAAACAATTGTTTGCAGATAATTAGAAAATCAATTAATCTTGGTGAAACTGCTTGCTGTTAGTTTTTCATATTAAATAATTAAGAATTTCTTAAAGGGTGTCGCTCCTCTCTTATTTTAGATGGTAAGAAAGGAAAAAGGAAAAATTGGTCCTCTACATCTGCAGAAAGACCCAAAATGGAAGGACGACCCAATTATTTTCACACTCGTTCGCTGGTAGCCAACCAGGAAGGCAGCTCTATCTAAATCTCGAGTTTTTGTGTGGACTCAAGATGGTTAGCATGCGAACGTACGAAAGGATCGGTTGCCCGGAACCTACCGAAGTTAGAACGCAAGAAAAAAATTTGAAAAGGGGAATCACTCATCATCTAGCAGATCGATGAAGAAAAAGCGAGGATCAGAAATGGTGGTTTTTCGCAACACGTACCTTCGTATCTCCTAGACGATTCGGTAATCTTTTCGTCTTCCCCGGTAACAGGGTCGCCCGGCCGGAGTGAGGCGCCGGGAGAGACAGGTGTGCAACTCTGCTGTAAGCAAGCGTACAGGTACAGGCCTGACGAGATGAGAGACGAAATGGGCAGAAATATGAAGAGATCTGAGAAGGATGTAATCTGTTTTCTCCAAAATCTATACGATCATCGGGGGTAAATAAGTCTTTTTAAATTACTAATGCCCAATAATCGCTGGAAATGTTGATTCGACACACGAGTAAGACTAAAGAGGAGGAAGCGAGAGAAGACTACCACCTGTCGTAGAGAGATGAAGCGAAATAATATCGAATTTACTCCCATTGTTATAAATATAACAAATAAAATAAAATTATTTTTATACATCAGAGATTTTAAAATAAAAAAACAAATTTTAAATTTTGATTTTTATAATAAAGATAAATTCGTCGAAATTTTCATTTTGTTAAATTTAAATTTAAATTTTATTTAAATTTACCTTTAATTTAAATCTGATTTATTTATTTTTTTAACTAAATAAATAAAAAAATAATATTTTAATCATCAAACACAATCACAAAATATACTTTTAATACACGGTACACTAATAACTGAGTTAAATGATTAAAGAACAAATGCTTCAGGCGCTCGACAGAGCGTGGCTGGACGCGAATGAACGTCTGTGACACGTGTGGCCCTCTTTCCTCCTTTCATCTCATCTCATCTATTCAACCCAACACACACAATCTCACTCTCGGTACTCTATTCAAACCGAATCTGGAAACCTCCTCTCTCACCTCTGTGTCTCTACTCTATTGAAATCCCTAAACACTATTTTTCGGTCTGAGCAAACAAGAGCAACAATCCAGCCAACCCATGACGGGCGGGTGGCTGGACTCAGGGTTATAGGCATATCAAGAACGGAAGTATCGAGAAATCATTCAAGAGAAAGGAACAGTATCGAGAAAAAGCAAGCTGGGAGCAATTCTTGGAGAATAGAATACAACCAATCAAAAACCATTTTACTAAACCATAAGAATCATCCATGGAGGGATCAACAAGCAAAGCTAACAAAGACAATATCAGGGTTATAGGCATTTATCAAAATTCCATAAAAACAATTATCACACATACAAAATCAAGTGATATAGAACATACATCAAAGAATTGAAATCACACCTATACTTTATCATAAACCTCTTGAAACACTAACAATGATGTTTAAAAAGTAAAATTTTTACTGTGTAAAGATAGAACAGACCAATTAAAAATGAAACAATTCCTGACTATTTATTTACCAACTTACCCAATCTCTCTCCCTTTTTTTCTTGTCTTTTTTTTTCCTTTTATTTTTATTTTTATTTTTTTATAATTAGTAATTAAGCATCACCGCAACTCTAATTTAAGCCCAGCTGTGGGCAGCGCTGCCATGAAAGAGGTTGTAAATGACGTCCAAAATCTTGGTAGAACAATCATTGGTTTTTTGTTTAATGTTCAAACAGCTTTTAATTTTTGTTCATGGACTAACGAAGATTTATGTTTTCAAATGAATGTTCAACTGTTTTCTGTTTTGTTTCCCATCTCCAAATTGAATCCAGCTCTAAGTGTAATTTCTTACATTAACAATTTGGTTTTGGTAAGATGCAACTTCACACATTTCTCCAACAATGAAATAGAAGGCGACCTCGATGTCCCGTCCTGGATGGTATGAGCATGTGTGATGCCATGATCCGTCTAGAACGACGGGACCCATAGGCTGACGGTGATGAACCCCGGATCCTACATCCTCGTGGAGTACGCCTGGCGGGACGGGCCGCGGGTTCGTTTCGCGGTTGCGCCGTGATGGGGCGTGCGTTGGGTCTGAGTGGGGAAATTTAGGTTGGTCGCCCGCCGGCCGAGGTGTTGAGAGCCCACACCTCGAGCGGGGTCAGTCGACACCCGACAAACGCGGGGTACCATAACACAATAACAATTGTCTTAACAAAAAATCTTTCGCTCAATGATGGACTTTCAAACGCAAACACATAGAATGCCATTAATACAAAACACCCGAAGCTCATGTTTAAAACAAATTATGGATCAAGAAGATTCAAACCAATGTAAAGAATACTGGAGCAGAAATCATAGACCTAAGGCAGTATTTCAAACGCAATATATCAAGGCAAAGAATATGTTTGAGAGCAAATACCAGTAAGTGACTCACGAATCAGTTCGTTGTTCGGTGGGGTGGAGCCAAATTTTCAGAGAAACCGGAAGGAATTGGGGAGTGGGGTAAAGACAGTGGTTGCCCATGGTCACCGGTGGGCCTTCTCGTCGTTGATGGCACCGTAGGTCGTCATCCGTCGTCGCCACCTACGGTCGTGCGTCATCGAGTTCGTGTCTTTCTATCTCCCGAGAAGTGGTCTTTCTAGGGGTCATAATATTGTTTTTGCGAGAGCGTGAAATCCCACTACAATGTTTTGCTGCGGCGTGAAGAAACTGGACAAGACGGACCTTCATTCCATTTCCGCACCAATGTTGATTTGAGGTCTATGCGAGCCTCTGATGAATTAAATACTTTTTATTTTCAATCATTTTTTCTATTTAAGAAAAACTGGGCAAATGAGTTTGGAGAATTTAATAAATACATCAAAGATTAAAATTTAAAATTGGTTTTTAAAATTAATTTTTTTTTTTTTTTATATTAATCCATCTTGAGTATTTTTTTTATAATGTTTGTCAAGATTTCTTTTTTGCATGAATTAAAAAATTTAATTTCTAAATAGACTAATCCTTATCAATACAGGTATCCCAAATAACCAAAATTATATTCACTTGTCTAATTAATACTATCACAACAGTAACTCTCATTAGCTCATACATTAAAAGTTTAGATTTTTTGTTTTTTTTCAAATTTTAAAAAAAAATGTAAAAAAAATAGAAAAAATAAAAATAAATAAGGGAGTAATATGATAAAAAATAAAAAGAGAATTAAATACTAAACTTTTAACTGTTTGCCGAAGCAAATAAAATCTCATTTTCCATTGGAGATCTCAACAACTCAGGTCGATGAGTAATTATTTCCTTACTCATCTAAATATAGGTAATGAATGTACACAATCATTATTAATTTTTTTTTATCAACAATTAAGATCACCTCCTACCATGGTGCATTGGCCAAAAAACAATTGGATCAAAATCTACTTTTACCACAATACGTATGGTTGGGTAGGAAAACTTTAGTTTGT